TGTTATCACTACTTTTTTTATTTCATAATAAAACTAGATTTAGAAGGGAGAGGTGGTGGAAAGATTTTAACATAAAATAAATTTAACAGAAAGTAATATTAATGTGTATTACACTTCCAGATATAAATTATTTACTCTATTTTAAGCGTTCATTACACAAAATTTGTAACAATGTGTTACTTTTTCTGAGCAAAGATCCCGCGAAAAAAACAACAAAAACTAACAGTAATATACGTTATTCCCATGACAACCACAGGATCGTACGATAAAAATATCAAAGTAAGCCATATTTTAATATTATAGCATATCTTGGCGAACATAAACAACTTGGCGCCTAGCCCTACTGTATCAAATTAGCATCCCAGATGGAGTTACGCAGTCTGATAATTAGACCAACGATGAACTAATAGTAGGAATTGTGTGAAAAAATATGTTATATATACCGTAAAATCCGGCGTATATAACACGCACCTATACTATCCAGCTGCATTTTTTTAATTTTTTGGTTTATTCACCGTACAAAGTGCACTGCCTTTTTTTTACGAAGAAATCTGAAATGTACGTGAGAAATGCTCTTATGTGTTTTGTAGTCATTTAATTGAGGTATTATCCAAGGCTTTTGAAAAAATAGCATACTTCTAGAACTATAACCTTTTAAGTTCATAAGGTATGCTCCCCATTAGCTTTAAATAACCAATATTTCAGTACATGTTGATCCCTAATTTTTTTTATGCTGATCTCTTTTTTATTTTTTTATCTTTAAAGCTATCATTTTATTTCAGGGGTATAACCCTCACCCGTAAATTTCGATCTTATTTTTTGTGTTGAAAGGACTCATTACGTACCAGATTGTATGGCATATGAGCGTATTACAATGCATATTACGAATGAGTGAATGTTAACGTCGCAATGTTCAGTTACACAAAGGCTTTAGGCTCGTAATTTTAAACCACGGTCAAGAGACGAGGACGACACTTGAGCTGGTACCCCCCTCTTTTAACTACCACACCAAAGGGAGGACGTTTGAGCTTTCGACAGATTCAACATGCATTTCTCCCCTACACGGCGGGTCTTCAGCGGTACTACGCTCGAACTCATGACACGCCAACTACGATTCCTTTACCTTGACTACTAGGCTACCAAGGCAAAAAAAAAAATGCATATTACGGTTTAGTTTAATTATTACAGACTAAAAGGAGCATTCAAAGATATGTATCATTCTTAAAATCAAACAAATTAATATGGGACAAAAAAAATCGATGAGCGTAATAATTTTTAAGGTATAAGCATATCAAAAGCTTTTTCAAAAGTTGAATCTTTCCATAAATATTTACAGAACAGGGCCATTTTATACTATAAGAATATATCCAATTGAAAACTATTCAACTTCGAACGTTCTACCGTCTCTATTTCAAACATTTATCAGTCAAACAGTTTCAAGCATTGCCTATTTATAGATAACAACATTCTTATATTCACTACGCGTCTATGTTTTACGACAAGTCTACATGGACGTTGATTGAAATACTGACACCAGAAGTCTGTCGAAAAGTAGTTCACGTGTTCATACAAAACAGAGGAACATAATTCATATTATTATCACATTCCCTTTGTGATGCCTTGTCTTTCACGAGGGCGGTGTGGTCACTTCTATTGAATTGGAAATGTTGTGGCCAGCCTTCAAACTCTGCCTGACTCAGCAGAAGCGAGTTCATCGCCTGCAGGATATTCGATGGCAGCGGCATTCAGGGCGTCTTTTGTGCTACCATTCTGACCCATTTCCTGTGCTGAGGGATCACGTGATCGTCTTCCAACACACGCACATAAGGTTGGCTTTATATATAAGTATAGAAAGATGGAAATAATAGATCAGTACTTCCCAAAGTGGTCTATATAAACCTCCAGGGTTCTGTAACGATCTGCAAGGGGTCCACGTCAGCGAAAAAATAATTTAGTGGTCCATGAGGTGTAAATGGGGATCAACCATAGTAGCTCTCATTAAACCAGATCATGATTTTAATTTTTAAAAAAAATTTAATCAAGTGGAAACTATATTTTACCTATTTAACACATTTATTTACTAAGTTTAATGTTAATTTGCAGTTACAAAAAGTGACTGATTGATTGATTGATTGAATATTAACGTCGCACTGTTCAGCTCCACGAGGGCTTTTGGCGACGGATCACGTCATTTTGAACCATGGTCAAGTGACTTGTACGACACCTGAGCTAGCACCTCCTCTCCTAACTACCACACCACACCAACGGGAGGACGTTCCAGCTCTCGACAGATTTAACGTGCATCGCTGTCCTACACGGCGGGTCTTTAGTGGTACCGGGCTCGAACTCGTGAAAAGGCAAGCCACGATCCAATACCTATACCACTCGGCTACCGCGGCCACGTTACAAGGTGACAGCATAAGCGGATGATATAATCGAATGATTATCGATTATTTTACGTTCAATAGTTGAAAATGTCTGTAACATTGCACTCAGTCGCTTTCTTCTAGTTTTCTGTCCACTTTGAGGTTTTGTGGAAGAGATAGTTTTAAACTATTTTAACTGTTTTTATATACAGGGGCCCCCCCCCCCGTCTTCATTTAGGATTATGTAACCCATTGATTAAAATCGCAAACTTTTGGACTGGCATTTTAACAATCTTGAGTTCCCACTAACAAGATGAAGTCGAAGCCTTCTCGTGATGGGTTATAAAATTTGGAGAGGGAAGTCTGCCATAGATGTTTGTTCTGTTAGTTGAATGTAGCTCAAAATTCTAAAATTCCGTCACGATTTGATTTGATTTTTATTTATGTTACACTCAAAAGCAACGCGAGTGCTATTGGCGACGGACCTCCGATTCTGAACCTTGGTCAAATGACGAGAACGACACCACTCTCCCAATTTCTACAGCATGAAATGTAAGGATTTTAAGCCTTGACCGATTTAACAAGCACCAACCTTTATATATCACAGGTTTCTAGTAGTTAGTGAATGAGTGAAGATTAACGTCACACTGTTTAGCTATTCGAGGGCTTTTGGCGACTGACCTCGTAGTTTTGAAACATGGTCAAGTGACGAGGACGACAACTGAACTGGCACCCCTTCTCTTTACTTTTACACCACACCAACGGAGGACATTTATGCCTTGACATATTTAACGTGCATCGGCCTCCTCTGCACGGCGGGTCTGCAGCGGTATTTGGCTCGAGCTCATGACACTCCGACCACGAGTCCATTATCTTGACCACTAGACTGTCGAGGTCATCAGATCTCTAGTGGTACAAGGATTTGAATGCACGACTCAACCGAAACATCCTAGGTCACGAGTTCGCGACCATTATTCCTTGTCGCGAACTGAAACTAATTTGTAGAATACAATATATAAAAAAGAATTAGTGAGAAGGTTTCCAAGAAGCTAATTCATTATCAAAATAAGAATTAGTTGACAGTAATTATTCATCTTATGTGTATGTATCTTACGGATATAAAAAATAATTATAAAAAAAGAACGATTTTTTTTAAAAAAAAATTATGTAATTTTTTTAAATACAAATGTTTAATGAAAATTAAAATAGTGTAAGAAAAATTATTTAATAAAAATTACACAATTGTAGCCATGGTTATTGAGTGGTCGTGGAACTGAGCTCGTCACCAGTGGAGGATGCTAACACATGTTAAATCAGAGTAGACTCAATATCTACTCACAAAAGTGGAAGTGTGAAACTGAGGTTCCAGCTCTGCTTTCGACTTCGTCATCGGAATTCTAATCTAAAATTCTTAGACCGCTGTTTATGGTTAACGGACCATTGTGCCAAGCGGTAATAGACAGTTGGAAAAGTTCAATAAATGAATGCATTTGAAAAAAAATAACAATAAGAAGGAAATTATGAAATGGAAAGGATTCGTGAATTATTGAAATGCACTGAAAGTTATTTCTTAAAAACTTAAAAATGAAAAAAAAAAAAAAAAAGAAAAAGAAAAAACCGGTTATGTAAATCAGAATTGACCTTGGTGGCACCGTGGTAATCTTGGGGTTATGGTCACGATCTCGTGGGCGGCGTGTCATGTTTTCAAGCTTTAGTGCCACTAAAAACCCACTGTGTAAAGGAGCATATGCATGTTCAACCTGTCGAAGTTCATAGTCTTTCCATTGGCGTGGTAGTTAGGATAAGTAGTTCCACCTTAGGTGTCGTCCTCATAATTTAAACATTGTTCAAAGGAGTGAGTGAGTGAATGAATATTAACGTCACACTGTTCAGCTACACGAGCGCTTTTGGTGACGAATCTCGTAATTTTAAACCATGGTCAAGTGGCGAGGACGACACCTGAGCTGGAACCCCCCTCTCATAACTACCACACCAATCCAACGAGAGGACGTTTGATCCCTCGACAGATTTAACTCGCATCCCTCCCCTACGCGCCTGGTCTTTAGTGGTACTGGGCTCGAACTTATGACATGCCAGGCACGATCCGATACCTTGACCACTAGGCTACCGTGGCCATTCAAAATTAGGAGATCCATCGCCAAAAGCCCTCGTATTGCTTGATAGTGTACGTTAAAGAACACTATATTACTTCAAACAATGCAAAAAGTTCATATTCAAAACCAATTTTGTATGTATTTTTGTATATTAGAAAAATCATTTTCGTATTTATCATCCTTAGGAAGATATAAATTACTAATGGTGATTAATGTTTAGAGATACAAATTTATTTTTTATGCTGTAGACTCACTTTTTTCAATTCCTACTATTAGTTCACACTCTCCCTTTATATATATATATATATATCTTGTTTCAAAGTTCCAATCGTTAGTAAAATACTTTTTATTCATCCACTCAAAGTTCAAATACATTTTTTTAAACTTGTAGTCGATGACACTTGATGTTAATACAGTTTTTTCAAATATGAATTCATTCATTAAGTTTAATAAATGAATAAACAGTAAAAACCAAAATAATAGTCAAACACCATATATAAAAACGAAAACCGCTCATTATGTCCCTGTAAGCGCAATGGATAGCGCGTTGGACTTCTAATCCAAAGGTAGTCGATTCGAATCCCACCTGGGATGGCCTAATGTCTGAGAATGTGATTCCTTTTTACTATACTGGTTTTTTTTTTTTTTGGAATAGTTATATTTAATGAATTAATAAATCGTAACAAGAAAATAATATTCTAACACACCATATATAGAAAGGAATTCACTTTCTATTTTGTCACTTAATAATGTGATTCTGTCATATGTATTTACATATTAATATCAATTGCAAATTATTTAAAATTGTAATTATAAAAAGTATCTAAAATAAAATTTTATCTTTGTTACCCTAAGTAGGAATTGACTTTAAAAATTTTTTTTATATTACTTGTGAAATAGAAGTTAATTATTTTTTACTAGTAGTATATTTATAATCAATTAATGATACCTCACACCATACTTGAAATCCGTATTTTTTTTTCATTTATCTTTGTCTCAATCAGGTAATATATTTTCCAGATAAAAAAAATATCTTGGTTTTCGACGGTGAGAACAAATACTAATTCTTCTTAAAATTAGGAGAATAGGTGTCTCACAAAGAGCAACTCTTCTTTCTCATATACACACATGATAATAGCATAATCTTTTAATCAAGGTCTCCAAATGACACGCTCTATTTACATAATTCGGCTTCCATGTTATTCAAGGTGAAAAATGAAACAAAATGGCATTATTCAGAATATATGGAAGAGGTCACAGATTTCTAAAAAAAAGAGATACATTTTTTTAAAAATAATTTTTGTAAGCAAGGTTCATTATTGATTATAAAAGTATAGAAGTCAGATATGAAAGTATAATGGAATATTTACCCAGTACAATCATAATTAATTAAATTTTATTGTTATGGAAATCACTTGATTCCGGTTTTCTCGTTTCTCATACATATAATTTATCTTTTCTGTCATTCTTATTTGGTTTATCAATATACATTTTCGATGAAGTGATTTATGTTTTTGAATGCTATTAAGCTCGACATTGAAATAATTTCTTCAAGAGACACAGACTATTTTTTCAATTCCTACACAATTAGTTCACACTCTCCCTATATTTATTTATTTATATATACATATATCTTGTTCAAATATTCAATCGTTAGTAAAATACTTTCTATTCATTCATTCAAGTCCAAATACATTTTTTAAACTTGTAGTGGATGACACTGGATGTCAATACAGTTTTATCAAATATTAATTCATTAATTAAATTAAAAAATTAATAAATAGTAACAAAAATAAGAATACAACATCATATATAGAAAGAGAAAAGGTTCGTTGTGTCCCTGTAGCGTAATGGATAGCGCGTTCGACTTCTAATCCAAAGGTCGTGGGATCAAATCCCACCTGGGATGGCCTAATTTCTGTGAGGATGTGATTTTTTTATTACTGTACTATTTTATTAGAGTGAGTGAGTGAATATTAACGTTGCACTGTAGAGCTGCACGAGGGCTTTCGGCGACGGACCAAAAAGCCCTCGTGTAGCTGAACAGTGCGACGTTAATATTCACTCACTCACTCGGCGACGGACCATGTAATTTCAACCATGGTCAAGTGACGTGGACGACACCTTATTGCCTGAATTGTATACACATTAAACAAAAACAAAAAAAGAAAAAAAACGATGTTTGTTAAATTTTATGTCTGTAGATCTAATAGAGCTGATAAAAAAGATTTTTTTTTTAAATTTATAACTCCCCATAACTCTCGTGTGGGTCGATTTGTGAAAACACCTTCTTACGCTGATCTCTGACCAGCAAAAGAAACACATAGTTAGAAATTTTCTGTAATGAACGTTTAAAATAGTGTAAATAATTTATATCTAGAGAGAAGTGTAATACGTTAATATTACTTTCTGTTGTATTTATTTTATGATAAAATTTTAATCTGCCTCACGCTCCGCTTGTTCAAGCCTTCACATTTCTTGGCGCCTGGCGTAGAAAAAACAAAATGGGAAAATTTTTGCTTCCCACATAAAAAATAGATGTATCCTGTCGCGGGATTGTTTTCAGATGGCAGAGAATTTTTCCCTACTTATTTGATAATTATTGTTATATTTTGGATACTTCACACAATATCGGTATAAATTATAACCTATGTGTTATTCTGATGTATAAGTTATATAATCATTGTAAAGTTTCACTAAAATCCCTTCAGTTGTTTTTGTCTGAAAGAGGAGCAAACATCCAAACACACTTTCGTATTTATAATATTAATAAGGATAAAGAAAACATAATAACAAAGGTTAATTTTTTAAATATTTCTTTTAAGGTATCTGACTACATTCGGAACCATGATTTTAAAAAAGCGCATAGATGTGGATGATATTTAGTGATTAGATATTTAGTGACAGAGGTCTGAGCTATATACAGGCAAAATATTAATACAATAGAAGCATTTTTTATAAAAGGAGAACATTTGGGAAAAAGGTTATTCTAAGTTAATTTTTTGCCAAAATATTGTATTTAAATAATTTTTTTTTGTCATAATGTCCTTAAAACAATTTTATACATGTATTCTAATCTAAGTGATACTAAATACCACATAAATATTATCCATTTACACGCTTTTGCAAAATCACGGTTCCGAACGTAGTCGGATACCTTAAATTCATGTGTCACATTGGAGTACAGAAGGTCATTCACAAGCACACTTTATGGAAACCAATTTGTAATTTATTTTATCGTTTGCATTTTGAGATCAATCTCTGGCAACTTCAGAATAATTGTATACTAAAATTTACTTTTGATTGAAATGTAAGACCACAGAGAGAGATAATTTTGTTTTTGAAAATAGCTCCTAAAATAGATAGATGACTCGAAAGTTATGTAACTGCGCTTTCCAGCAGAAATATTCGTATCGATAAATTATAAAGCGGTGTAAAATCTCGGTTATTGCATTTAAAATAAAAAGGTATTTATTGTATGTTAAATTTGATAGGGAAAAACGTCTAGCTGAAAATAAAAACGAAAACCTGACCACGAAACCTCATCCTTGGACTATTCGAACGCAGGCAAAAAGAAAATCTACAGACTGAAAAGATTCATTAAATCGAAACTAGAAATGTCTCCCTCTGCACTCTTCAGTAAAATCATTCATATAAAGATTTAAAGTTAATAAAGATGTTTAAACTTAATGTTCATATGCTTTTGCCAAAACATATTGCTAAAAGAAAAACAGATTGTAGAAATTATATAAAAAATACCTAGCTGCTAAAAAATGGAAATTTGTGGTAACACTTGATGAGGTATGGGTATATTTAAGAAACTATTAAAAAAAGAAAAATCTTCACTATTGCTCAACTGACGGGAATGACCGTTCGAAATGGCTTGGTCAGTGTACAAAAAAGTTCTCAAAGGGGTTCATGACGGTTGCAGGATTTTGTTAAATCGGCATATTCAAAATTAAAAAAGTCTGTAGTAAAACCTAAATTAATTGACTCTTCTATCAGCAGAATATGTTACAACTATTTTTTAGAATAAATTCCTGCCTTATACGAAAAGGTCACTGATAAAATTGAGCTTCATACGGGCAATGCCTCTTGTCACACGTCTAAGTCAAATGTCGTTTACATAGCAAAGACAGCTTCAGAAAGAGGGATAAATAGTATCTCATTTGATGAAATATCTGTAAAATCACCCTACGCTTAGGTAATGGACTTTTGTGCTTTCGGTTTATTAAAATGAGCCTTACGAAAACTGCATCCAAGAACACCGGACGCATTTTGGAAAACAGTTCAATAGGAATGAAGTAAAATTGGCGTGACAGTACTAAGAAAAAGTTTACTTTCATTAAAAAAACCGAGCTTGAGCTATATTGTCAAGAATCATAGCTATCAGATAGAAGCAAATCGTCACATAAAATGCGGCACTAATAGATAAAAATTAGCTCTCAAAATCGTTTCCATAAAGAGTGAACGACCTTCTTAAAACCCAATTCTGATGATACTCAACCTCAAAATTACCGTCCAATCTCGCTACTCAGTAGCTTGAGCAAAAACGTACGAATTTGTTCTTTTTAATCGCCTGAATCAGCACTGCATAGCCAGGAATATTATTATTCCTGAACAGCATGGCTTTGTTACACAGTGCTTCCCCAGTAACTCAGTTACTAAGAGTTACTGAGCTGATTCATCACGGCTTTCATAAAAACCAGGCCACGGGTATGCTTTTTGTGGACATAGCCAAAGCCTTTGACAAAATTTGGCATGATGGCTTGATATCCAAGATGATGCGACTTGGGTTTTCGGAACAACTCATCAAAATTATGACTCCCCACCTAAATTCACGAGAATTTAGGGTAAGAGTTGAAAACAGTCTCTCCACCCCACGTCCAATTCTGAGTGGGGTACCACAAGGATCTTTATTAGGGCCCAAGCTCTTTAATCTATACATCAACGACATTCCCAAGGCTGCCGAAGTCCACTTAGCGATGTACGCGGACGACACTGCCATTTTTACCCAAAACATTTATAACTGCAATATCATTGAGCGGCTTAAAAATTTATGTCATTCGACTCGAAACCTGGCTTAACGACTGGAAAATAAAGGTAAATGTTCAAAAGCGCATCCTCCTCTTTACGAGAAAGCGGTGCATCGGAAACCTCCCGCATGTCAGCATCTTTAATCAGCCTGTCCCCTGGGTTACTGAATATAAGTACCTAGGTTTAATACTTGATACTAAATTAAACTTTGCTAAACACATCCGTTCCGCCCCCCAAAGGCGGCTGAATGAGAACATTCTAAATCGCTTGATTTCTCCCAAGAGCAAGCTCGCATTAAGGCACAAGGTTCTATTATACAAAGCCATTCTTCGCCCCATTATGTTGTACGCTTCTCCCATCTGGGCAGGGGCGGCAGTTACCACCTGAAAAGATTGCACACTTTTCAAAACATTCAACTGCGTAGAGCAGCAAACGCACCTTGGTTTGTCAGGAACGAAGTCTTGCATAAAGATCTTAATTTCCACCGCTTTTGATTTCATCAAAAACAATCAGAAAATTTCTTCAACCGGTTACCACAGATTTCAAATGAATCTATC